ACTGTTATAAAATGCAATGCATTGTTTTTAGACAGAAAAAACTCACTCTCTGCTCTGGACAAAGTATGAGCTGTCTGATCCGGTCCCTCGAGCTCCAGGTCCGCAGCACCAGCGGCTACCTGCGCGCCTGGCTGCGGCAGCAACTTCTCCTTCAGCAGCTGCTTGCGTTCCTCAGACTCTTTTGCCGCTTTCTGTATAGCCGCTTCCTGTTCGTGCATCGCCTTCAGTTGTTCCTCTTGACTTACTATCTGTTGAAGATAGTTTTATCATAATAATTTTATAAATGCGAATGTCTAGATGGATGAATGGATAGATGTTTAAAGGTATTAAAAACGGCTTAACGGATCTTGATGATTGGCACAGATGTAGAACATAGTCTGGAAGAACACATAAGCTAATCGTTAAGATTTTTTAATTCAGCGCGGACGGAGTCGCGGGCGACATCTAGTTTGTTCATATTACTATAACGTAATGTTGGCAGACTATATTCATACATAGACAATTTTTTTGTATAACTGTGAAATTTAGTTGTGGATTGTAAATATGAAAAAAGAAGAGTAATATGAAAATGAAAAAATAATTTATTAAAATCCAAGAACATAAGTTTACATTAAAAGGTTAAGCTAAGAAATTTAATGGATACAAAAAAGGTGGGTATTACAAGTATTTACCAGTATCCTCGCACTAGGCGCAGCCTGTGTCGCGAGGATCCTGCTCTTAAGTTTTATCAGAGGTTCGTTAGACGGCAACAAATTAAGTAAAATACAAATAATCAAGTGCAATTTGTTTTAATATGCAATATGCTATCAATTGCTTTATTTAATGAATTTCAGTTAGGGAAAGAGTTTTTAATTTATTATCTAAAATATTATACCGATTTTGAATACGCGTATAGTGAAGTATACGAAATTGTTAAGTCCTAAAGTTTAAATACGTAAAAAAAAAATTTTTCATATTAACATTACATGTAATTTAATATTATGTTACATTACGATAAAATCTCTTGTTTTGCATAAACTATAAATACGTATTATATAATATTTTCTTAGCTATTATTTGGTTGCAATATGATATCTTTAGCTAGAACTTTAAAAGAAACATCTACGTGTATACCTTGGCTTGTTTCTTCAGTCTCTCGAATTCTGATTTGTGCATAACGGCGGGATAGTAGTTGGGTTCAGTTTTAGGAACTATCAAATCCCTCCAACTTTCACCTTGCGGCACCCTCGTGTACTCTCGCTTTGGTATCTCGCATTTGTGTATCGGTCTTTTGGTGATTGGAAATTTTAAGCGGCATTCTGAAGGTCTAGGAAAATATCAAATTTAATTATAAGTATAGTTATTATCTTTACAAACTATAGTGTCAATTAAAACTTAAGGAATGAAGGAAGGTATAAACTGATATATAAACACTCACTTATATACGTCCGGTGGCGGCACCGACTAGACCGATGAAGGGCCCCCGATGGGCTCGAAACTAGTCGGTGCCGCCACCGGACGTATATACGTGAGTGTTTAGCCGTGTTTATATATCAGTTTAGTATAATGTCTCACGAAAGTTTGAAGGAAGGTATAATAAAACTGGTATATTTATAGCGTTAAAATTACTTTTCTATTCTACCTGCCTACCCACCCTATTTATGGGTTTCGTGGGTTTTATTCTATTACGGCTGCAGTTTCTTAATTTAATCAAAAATCATTCTATTAAAAGAGAGTTAATAATTCTTATGGAAATATGTTACTAATATTATAAATGCGAAAGTTTACATGGATGGATGGATGTTTTTTTAAAGGTATCTTCGGAACGGCTTCATAGTCTTCAGAGTCGCGGGCGACAATTACTTGTTTAATAGAAAAGAAAATCAATATCTGCCTATACGACTAGCTAAAGGGTTGATTACTTCTTATTTTTTGAACCAAAAGCTTACCTGTGAAGTTGATAGCAACCCGGTTCACTCCCTTTGCGTATTTTATGGTAAGGAATTCCCTCGTGAAGATTTTTCAACACCTTAGGCATTCTTATTTTTTATGTTATAAAAAGCGATATCTACAAAGTATAAAATTATATCAATCGATGTTTAAATATCACCTAGCAACCAAAACTTTGTTTAATGACAAGGTTTTCAAAGCAAAAGCGGTTAAAATATTGTTATTTTTACATTTTCGTAAAAAAAATTTAAGTTTGTTTTAAAACTCCTACTATCGATCAATCTTTAAAAGTTTTCGCTAATTTCTGCTTTACATATTTGAATTTGAGATACAATTTCTACCCGCAATATAAGTCAATGTCTTACGGTACGAAATTGCAAGATATTGTGTTTTATCTGATAAGTATGATTATTTCTTTTCTGCTGATGAAATAGATAAGTATCTTGTGAATTTTGTAGATAGTCAAACTTAAATATACATATTAACGGCGTGGAATGTGACACATTAAGTTTCTTACCATTTTGGTAACTTTTTGAGTAGCGGACTTCCGAATCTGATAACTTTTTTACATTGTTTATTTTCTTTCTTGCATGTAGGTACTATTAAAATCATTACATATTCAAACATTTTGTGGATTTCGGTGTATTTTGACGATTCTATTGAAGTAATGGATTTTGCATAGGTTATATTTTTAGTTGAAACTTAAATTTTAATCTGGTCACCCCGAAGAATAAATTGTTGAAAACTTCTATTAACGGGTCACCCCGTGTTTAATGTCATAACAACCCGATTTGAAATTGTAATATCTGTAGTAGTTTTTTCTTTTTTTTTGTAAATAAAAAACTGAATTTTTAATGTTTCCGTGTCACGGTGTTAGCGAATGATAACATAAATTATTACCGCAGTTACTAGGTGTATTTATTTAATACTTTTTAGTTAATTATGTAAGAGGTTATACAAAAAGTTGGAGACTTATTTTAAAACACAAATATTATTTCTCATCATGACTGGTTCATCAGAAGAAAAGCCGAAATCGGCAAACTTTTATTTTGCGTCGTTACTTGTGAGTAATTTTATTTTTTAATTTATAAATACTTGGATTCAGTAATGATGCAACATACCATAAAATGATTTTATTACCACCCGGTGAATCTATTCATGGTAATTTAATTGGCCTTGAAATACTAAGTCTATGTCTATAAAAATTATGATTAAATTAACTAGGAATAGTCTTGAGCGACTTCCGTAATCTTGTTTACTTTGACTTACGAAGGAATATCTGTTCCCCTCTAGTTTACTTTCTTCAATTACATTAAATATAGACTTTATTACTTTTATTATGTAATCTTTGAAACTATTTAAAGAAAAATTAAATTACAATATAAGAAATTCCTTTACCAATACAAATATATTACTATTGAGAAGAAGAAACAATTGAATAATCTTATACTACTCATTTCGGTATCCAGGGTGGTGCATTGGCTGGTATATCAGTAGACCTGACATTATATCCTCTGGACACACTAAAGACTCGCTTACAGAGTGAACAGGGCTTCCAAAAAGCTGGAGGCTTCAGGGGAGTGTATAAAGGTTAGAAATACAAAATTAACAATGTCAAAAAGTTAAGGTGAACCTGATACTATGTTTCTTTACCTTGTAAACCCTTAATGTTTTCCTGTAGATATATCCCAGCCGAGTCTTATATGGAACATCATCACCATGTGATACTACTTCAGAATCCATAATATCTAAATCTCTCAAATTGTCATAGCCTTATTATCTATTTATTTTTAATTTCCAGGTTTGTCAACAGTAGCAGCCACATCTATGCCAACAACGGCACTATTCTTTGTTAGTTATGAAGCCACTAAGAATGTGATACAACCTTTAGTGTTGCCGCAATATGCTCCTTTGGTTCATATGTTTGCGGCCAGTGTTGGTGAATTGGTAATGTTTTATAATTTCTTATATACTATCTATCACCATCAACTCTCTCTGCATGGCATTAAAGAAAACTTAATGAGTAGCCTATGTGTTCTTTGCCAAATTTCAGCAAGATTTACCCTCGAGATACCTTCAATCAAACATTCGCATTTATAATATTAGTAAGAAATCTGGCTTTAATTAGGGAAGAGAGCTATAATACTACTGATGTCATTGTTGGATAGTTGTGTGCTTAGATCTCTCTCTATGTACCTCTCCCTTTTTTCTTTTCCAGTGTTTTTTCATAGTCTTATTTTGCCTGTATCTTATAAAATGCTGTTTTTTTCTTCAGTTGGCATGTGTAATCAGGGTACCGACGGAAATAGCGAAGCAAAGAAAACAAACATATGTAGGGATAAAGAAAATCAGTGCTATATCAATATTATTGAAAGCATACAAAGCAGATGGATTTAGGAATGGTTTATACCGAGGATTCTTTTCAACTGTAGCAAGAGATATACCGTTCAGTTTGATTGAACTACCTATATGGGAGTTGTTGAAGGCAACGGTAAAGGAACGGAATAATGGAGAGATCACTGGTTTCCAGGTAAGTTATATAGCTTCTTGTTGTATTAACTGTCGCGTGTGACACTGTTCGTGTCAATTAAAAAAAAAATTAGTAGTCTATGAGTTCTTTCAGATTATGTTCTACATTTATGCCAAACTTTTCAAAATAAATCGATAGACAATAAATTACATTGACAGCTAATGAAGTGTGTGAATATAATTCCTCATTTTTTATTTATTTTTTTATAAAAGAAGGGCACAAACGAGCGGCGGCAACACCGAAGTAATCAACAATTCCATTAAATTTGATTATAGTCTTCTTTCTCAACAGCTACAACATTCAGAAAGTTTTTAATTCTTGTTGTTGTTTTTTTAAAGAGTGCTCTCTGCGGTTCAATAGCGGGAGGTTTTACAGCCGCGGTAACCACACCTTTGGATTTAGCCAAGACTCGTATTATGCTCGCCGAAGACTATGCGGAGACCAGAAAGTTACGTATCCGTCCGGTCCTGACCAGCATTTACACGGAGTCCGGTCTCCGTGGTCTTTACGCGGGCTTTTTGCCGCGAATGATGGCATTTACTTTAGGTGGTTTTGTTTATTTTGGTGTTTATGATGATTCGAAGAGATTGGTTGAGAAATTTCTAAATAGGTAGTACATAACAAGGTGTATGGTTGAACCTGGATAAAGGAGATACTGCATCGCGATATTTTACTTGTTTATAGAGGTGTCTCTTATCTGCCTTGCTCATAGAGGTTGTTTGTCAGGACTGGATTTTATACTTCAGCTTATCCAAGTTCTACTGTATATATTTTATAGGTCTAAGTTCATACTTGCCTTTAAGCTTATTGTAATGTAGTGAAGCAAAGGAATTGTGGTATTTTTTGTTTTAATTTAAACGATGGAAAGTATTTAAATGAAATACATTTCTTTTACTTTGTGTAATTTATGGAACGAATTTGTGTCAAAACGGGTAAATTATGAATATATTGATAATTATTTTTATCTGTGTAAAAAGTTAATGATAAACGGTTTCGTGAATGGTTGTATCTAGTTTGAAATTTTACTGTATTAAGAAGACATATTGTTGAATTTATATGATAAATATATGTTAATTGTTATAAATTTTGTTTAATTTCCTTAATGTTACCAGTTCTCTAATATATAAATAAAACTCCTCCACTCCCGTCTCCATATTACTTACCATTCTTGGCAATTAGTTCTTGCAATACTGAAAAATCCTACAAATAAAAATTTTATTTAATTAAAAACGATAAATAAATAAAAATTTGTTAAATACATTTTATTGCTGACAATACAATCTTTACATTTTATTAATATTACTATTACGAACTTTTTTTTACATCGATATACATTTATAACCTAAAAAAATAAATCTACAATTTTAATTCGTGTTTGACATTGACAGATTGGCGCGCATTTTTGGTTGCGATCAATGAATTAAGAAAATAATATACAGAATTTTAAATCGATCACAACCAAAACTAAAGAATGCGTTAGCAGTATATTTAAAGGATATAAAAATATATTTATGTGATAATATGTCGAAGAGTAAATATCGAATTATCTCGTAAACTCTAAACTGTGCACGTCTTAAATGAAATAAAGATGTGACAGTTCTGCAAGTCGATTAAAAAAGAATTTATCAATCTTCTTTAACTTATATTTTTTAATATGGTGTTCCAGTTGTCTCTGCCAATAAACACGTCAAAAACATGTCTTTTTCCAAGACATCGAGAAGTATGTCAACGTGTTTTTAAACGTGCTTTGGCTGTGCAAAAGACAACGGCTGCATTTTTTTTACATCATGATTTAAGAAAAACATTTTTTAAAAAGAATTTTAAAAATAATTCGATAAAAGAGAAATTAAAAATTGCGAAAACTGTCAATTTAAATAAAACGAATATTACAAAACAATTATTCGAGATACTTTATTTATAATATGACTGATATAGAGTTTTAATTTGTTCAAAATTAAAAAAAAAACAATTAAAAACGATATTATTAACAAGTAAATAATAAAATATAATAAAGAATATAAATCTTTCCTTTGGACGATCATAGCCAGAATTTCTAATTATATATTTAGGTAACTAAATATATATCAGTTGCAAATTCCGATTCCATATACATTCCGATTACCAAAACCAATAATAAAATAATAATCACATTTGATACAAGACTTTTCGCCTTTAATGACTTAGGAAATAATTTTCACTTCAAAAAGATAAACATTATTTTACTGTACATCAAAAATGTATTTTATTTTTTTTTATTTCAGACAACCAACAGTTGACAGTTAAAAAAAGGAAATGTCATTGTATAAGATTTTGGCGCGTAAAATAAATCTGTTTTAATTAACTGACAATTTAAAATTATTTGATTACTAACCTTTATAATATTGGTACGTTGGTGTTAACTTCAGTAATAAAATAAAGTTATGGTCGATAAAACGCTTTCGAAAAAGAAAAAGGCGGCAAACAAACAAGTTTTTTAAAATATATTTTTTTAAAAGAAAAAGGAAGAAGTTAAAAAGGAACTAACGAGGAATAAATTACACGATAGTTTACTTATTCGTCTGTAAAACCGGGACGTAGAAATGTAAATTTGAAACTGTTTTACTGACGGCGTCGTACAGTTTTGAGGTCGGTATCAGACTGTTTTACCAACAGTGTGTTGGTGTTTTACCGACGGTATCGTACTGTTTTACCGACGTACGTTGCAGATTATCTGTGCGTGAGGTTGATGTGGTTGTGTGAGAGCGTGGCGGTGGCGCGGCGGAAGGGGTTCCAGGAGGGTGCACGGCGGGGGCTGCGCGGGGAGTGTGAGCGCGGGGTGCGGCCAGAAGTCGCTGTTGAGCCGCTGGATGCGCTGGATGCACCAGACACGGAGCCCTGCTGTGACCCGCGCTGACCACCCACCTCAGTGCCACGCACTCTCGCCTGTACACGGGTAACTTCGTTCATGGATAATCACAATTTATAAATAAAATATTTCCAAAGTGATAAAAACAATAATAATAAATCCTTATTGCTTTGTTACAAAATTTTACGCTTTCTTTGGACTCTGCCTCCTGTGATAAGTAGCGAACAACGATATAAAAGCCTTTTTATAACCTCAGTTTTAGATAGATACTGTTAGGAAGAAAATCCGACACAGTGCCGGTGTACTGACGCAACACTAGTCTTACTAAAATGTCGACGTTTATGTTTGTGTCACATTCATTCTGACACTGGACTTTGTAAGGAAAGCACGGCATTAATAATGTCGAAGACTTATATGTGCAGTTTGTGTGTGAGTGTGTGCGTGTGTGCGAAGATATATGTGTAAGGTACCTTATGAGAGGTGTCCATTGGTGTGGCGAGGCGCAGTGTGAGCGCGGGTCCTGCCTGCTGGATCAGACGCACCACCTCGCTGTGCGCGCTCCACTTCACGTCCTTCTCCCCGATTGAGATTATGAAGTCACCCTCACGCATGCCACCGATCTGAACATAGATGGCGTTGTTGTTATTTTGAAACACGATAATGTTTTGTTTAGCACCCTATATGTTTTATTTGAAAGCAAACAATTGTAGAAAGAGAAAAATGAGATTTAAACTTGATATAAACTTACATCAGCCAAAGAGTTAGGTTCCACGGCGGCGATAACTACAGGCGCATCTCCCCTCACAGTAAATCCGAAACCTTCTTCATCCTTGTTATTGGCCACATTGTATTCACTCGCCACTCTTCTCAACTCTTTCCGTTCTCTTTCTCTTCCGTTCTTTAACTTGGATTCCTTCTCTATCTCAGTAGTAAAATCGTATCGATCGTATTCGATAACCTTATGATGGTAGTCGTAGTTATTATTATTATAACTGTTTATATAGACGCCATTTTGTTTCGTAACTCTCTTCTCATCTAGAATCTTCTCGTCTCTTATTTGGTTGTAGTACGTGCTGTTATCTTCTGAATGGTCGCGTTTATCGCTCAGTCGTCTTCTGAGTTTGTCTTCTTCTCTGCCGTTCTTTCTTTCCCGTCGCGCTTCTCTTCTCTTCTCCGTGTTCTTCTGGAGTTGGATGAGACGGGGAGCGCTCCAGTGTCGTTTCGCGGAGAACACAGCAATGGGTCCCAGAGATTTGAATAAATCTTCAACGCGATGTTGAGCGAAGTCAGGTGGTGTTAATGCTAGTTCAAATTTAGATGCAGCTGTGGAAATATTACCAATATTATTAATGCGAATGTTTATTTGAAGATATCTTCAGAACGTCAGAACGGATCTCGATGAAATTTGGTATACATATACAACATAGTCTGGAAGAACACATAGGTTACTAATTACGTCTTTTTTTTACTTCCTCGCGAAAGGAGTCGCGGGCGACAGCTAGTGGATAAAAAAAATAAAATATTTAATATTATTTATAGTATTACCAATATACAGAAGAATAACAATTGAACCCACACATTTTTGTGACTGAGCAGTCACTGTTTGCCTTGAGGAGGCATTTACAGCTTCACTGGGCTTGAGGTGGCCCTTGAGGCTTAACCTCAAGCTTCAACCCACACAATGTAAACTACTTGAGTACATTGGATTAGCAAAAAATTCCATGAGCGTGTTTTAATTAGCGAGCAGCGCCATCTATCGGCGGATGATGAAGTGACATACGCAGTATGGGCGGCGCGTCTATGATGTCGGCAAAGTCCGGCTCCTCGTTGCCGCCGCGCGCCCGCGCCTGCGCCGCTCTCTCGCGCTGCGCCGACACACACCGACACAGCGCCTCCTTGCCGCGCAGCTCTCTGACATACATACATACATACATACATACATACAATCTTATACAAAATGAACAATTTATATATTCTTAGCAATAGCTTAGAATTATACTGTGATAATTATTGTTTAAGGAAAATTTTAATTTTTTTAATATCTTACTAATATTATGAATGTGAATGTTAGGATGGATCGATGTTTGTTTTAAGGTATCTCCAGAACCTATTCATGGATAGAACTGAAATTTGCTTTTAATGTAGAACATACTTTAGGACAACAAAATCGCGCACTAATTAAGACGATGTCGAACCTCCGTAGGGATAAGGGCAGGTTGATGATAAGACGGAGTTGCGGGCGAGACCTAGTATTAACATAAAGGAGTAAAAATGACACCTCACATATTCCCATCAAGTCAAAACAGAATTACAAAACATTACCCTCAATTATTTTATACTAGCGGAGCCGACAGACGTTGTCTGACAATTTGACAATGCGATGGTAGCGCCGTCTGTCGGATCCAATGTAAAACATTCCAAAATCAACAACTACTAATAAATTAAAAATTAATTAAAAAAACATTGTCCAGCGGACAAAATTGTGAATCTAAACCATTCCCAGATCCCCTTGAACATACACAAAAAATTTCATCAAAATCGGTCCAGTTTTGAGAGAAGTTCAGTGACATACACACTCACAGAAGAATTATATATATAAAGATTAAACAAAATAACAATAAATAGTATATATTTATAATTCAAATAATATTTGTAAAAAATTATATTCTTGTTAGATGTGTTGTTAATGAACTGACCTGCACATCCTCTGCAGTCGCAGCGCCTCCTCGTACAGCGCGAGTGCTTCAGCGAGATGCGCTCGACCCAGCGCTACTGGTTCTACATCGGACACGCTATTGTTGGACCCTGGGAACAAAAATGTTGACAAATACGTGATACATCTAAGTTAAAACGAATGAAAGACGCTAACAAAATAATTATTAAAAAAAAACAGTAAATCAGTTTCTGTGAATATGCATAAAATATTTTTTTTTGTCGATAACATTTCGTTCTTAATAAATGGATACGTTATTATTTGAAAATGACACCTTTGACTTCGTTCAGATTTGCTGACAGATAATTTTATCTCTATTATTAGTTTGAATTCTCACCAACGCTACATCGCTACCCGTTAATGCCAAAATGGCAGAAATTTTACATTGGTAGAGCGAGCTTTAACATGTTCGCACGAATAGTCCCGGCTCGCCCGGTGAAATACCACGACCACATAGAAGACTGGCGTCTAGTGGAAGCTATTCCAAGTACAGTCTGATGAGTGTGCGTCCCGGAAGCCTAATTTAGTCCTCTTTCCCTTCCCATCCTTTTCTTTATAAGGAATGAATAGGAAGTGGAAGTGGACTTTCCGGATGAGAGAATGCTTGGAAAGGGAAGATATTTTCTTTCTGTGCATCCTCTCCTCCGTGGATTAAAGGTAGGCAACGCATATGCAATTGCGTATGTCTATGGACAGTCACTTCGCTATTTCAGGGATTTCAGGTGACCGCTCGCTCGTTTGCCACCTTGTGTTATAAAAAAAGGCACATAATGCTATAGCTTATAGCCTGTCCATGTATAGAGGTCACTGAACCGACGACGTAGAGTATTTACTTTTAATCCCTAATCTAAATTGTAGTAATTAAAGTATGTTTTAAGTGTAGAATATAGAGAGGAGTTACCCTGCGTGCGGTCCGGTGCGTGCAGCTGAGCGAGGCGGTCTGCAGCGCGCGCGCCCGGCGCCTGCAGCAGCGCCACGCCGCAGTACTGATGCGCTAACGCTGATAAACAATTATTCGTCACAATGGGTAGGAAATAAATCTCCTTAACTACATTCCTATACCTACTAAAAGACGTTGAGTTTAAGATTAGGGAGCGTATCTATACTACGTGACCCGTTTAGGGGGGGGGGGGTAGCGGAGTCTTTAAAATACTACTGTCGGTGCAGGAGGGAGGGGGGCTTTGGTTTTTGTGAACCAAAAATAAACAGGTCACGTAGTATGGGTATGTTCCCTTACTGTATACTTGCGTCTAATATATTTTTTTTTCTTTTTTATTTAAAATTATTAGCAGATTTTTTTGGAAATTTACTATTTCTTTTACCATTCCAATTAAGCTCTAGGCTTGTGCTAGGATATGGTTTACAATAGTCGAATGGCGGGATTCGAACCCCCGACCTCGTGATCGGAAATCCTTACCCTTAACCATTAGGCTATTGGCGCTTAAATATTATATATTACCTTTATAGAACTCAGTCTTGACGTGGACAAGTGACACCCACGAGTATGGCACGTAGTTGAATACACCTTCTGTCTGCATCTGTAATAGCATTATATATCATATAAATACTTGTATTTATGCGAAACTTATTTGAATATGAAGAATAATCCAAAATGTACAGACTATTAATTGCTTAAATATTGCATTTATTTTTACGAAAAAGAAAATTTAATAACAACGCCATCTAGTGACAAATAATTCAAAAACAGCGCCATCTAGTGAACACAGGCTAAAATGTTTCTTTTATGACATGTTACTTTATCGTATAGTTGTTTGTAGACGTGTGCTAGTTGAGCGCTCTCCTGCGCGAGATCAAGGCACATGTCAAAGTCTGCAGGTAGAGCTTCGCCGCGTGCTTCCCGCGCCTGTAGTTGTAGCTTCTCGAATAGACACTCGCGTGCTTGCGCCTGTAATAAAAAGTATTTTACACTGCCATCTATTGGTGCGGATTTATATTTCTTGTTTTTGGAACAACGCCATCTATTGTTTTTTACACAATTTCTTAAGGTTATAAATTATGACAGTAATAAACTAGAAAATAAATGGGTAATGTAAGTAAATAACGATGGAACTTTAATGCGATCTACAAATGAAATTATTGTTTCAAACAGAGCGCCATCTATTGTTTATTTAAAGACTCGCGTGTATTATCTATAGATTGAACGGCTATAAGACATAGTATTTTTGACTATTTGATGTTCGACATTTTGGCGTTGATGTTAGCGATATATAGCGGTGGTGAGGATTGGAACTAATAACATAAATACGAGTTAACTGTCACGTAACATCGGAACGAAGCAAAGGCTATCATTTCTAAGAAGTCGCCTATCATTTTATGAAGATTTTTTTTAATTAACACTTTGGCTGAGTGTAGATGGCGCTTTGCTTAAACTGATTTTATAGAGTTTGGTATCTCACCGTCATGAGTGTGCCGAGTACAAGCAGTGTGTCCGCAGCGAGGTCAACAGATGGCGCGTTTGTGAAGTTCTCATGTATATAGCGTAGTGCGCCCGCAGCACGGAGCAGCGCGTCCACAGCGCCGTCCAGACCAGAACATGTCGTGCGTTCCTAATTAAAATTAAATACATTTTACAACAAACAGAATTCTCTAAATTTGTAGCAATAACTGGATAGTAAAGAAAGTAGACTAACCGTGGGTTTCTAAGACCAAAATCGATATGACGATGACGATATGTTTACAGTTATTTTGACCTCAGAAATCAACGGTAAATAAATGAAACAATAATTATGACAACATTTTTCAATCACCTGTTTAGCACCGATCTGTGTATAGATACCAGCCATGTTGAACAGTACGCAGGCCTTTTCAAATGCAACCGTGCGCTGACATGATGGTACTCCTAGAATTTATGAAATAATTTAAAATATCAAAGAGAGCGTCGATGGTTCAAGGGCTAAGCACTTGTCATGTAATCCGCCATGTCTATGGTTCAAATCTCGCTATTTACCACTGTGTTTTTCTATTTGCATATGTACATTTATATGACGTTCTTACGGTGAAGGAAAACATCGTGATGTTATCTCTGCGAAGAGCTTCAAAGATATGTGTGAAGTCAACACGCATTAGGCCAGCGCTGACTATGACATAATCACCCTTAACTTAGGGTAGGCTCCGAGCCCATCAGTGGGGACGTATACGGAGCTGATTTCTTACCAGTTAAAGAGTCGAACCATTCAAAGTAGACGCCTAGAGAGCGGTCTGGTGGGAAGAAGCGTCGTTCAATGAAATACAATTGATTATAATATTTGAACAACAGCGCGACGCCGACTGTAGAACGGACTGGAGTTCGCATCGCCTGGAAAGCACGGAAACATAATGGTAATATTCCGGTAATATAACAAATTAACTGTCGCCCGCGATAAAAAAAAACTTAATAAGTAGCCTATGTGTTCTTCTAGAGTATGTCCTACATCTATGTCAAATTTCAGCTAGATCCGTTTAGCCATTCCGGAGATACCTTCAAACAAACATCCATCTAAACATTCGCATTTATAATATTAGTAAGATTAATGGCCTGATCTTCTAATATCTAGTTGAGGATTGCATGTAGCTGAAATGCGTATGCTAAGATGGATGTGTGGTGTGACAAGAAAGGATAAAGTTAAAAATGTGTATATTAAAGGAAGTTTGAAAGTAGCGCCAGTTATCTAAAAATTGAAGAGTAAAAGATTAGCGTGGTTTGGACATGTTATGAGGAGGGATGATGATATAAGCAACAAAGTAATGAGATTGTATGTGGATGGCTACAAAGGTAGTGGAAGACCAAAAAAAGTATGGAATGACTGTGCGAATGAGGATATGCGTAGGAAGGGGGTAGATTCCGAGATGACGGATGATAGACGTGTGTGGAGGAGTAGTTTATACTGTGCCTGCCCTCAATAGGGAAAAGGTCAGGTTGATGATGATGATTAACGGTTAATGTTAGTTAAACTTTTGAATCAGTTCAGATGTAAACATGGTTAGTGATGAAGTCGAGATAGATCGAATTGGAGGTGGAAAAACAAGTGCTCCTCCATATAGAGTTAGATAAAGAGAGAGAGGTGGTAAATACCTGTCTCATATCCATAAAATCAGAGATGGCGTCTTCGTATGCAGCTGCGTCTTCGCTGTAGTGTTCCAAAATGAAGTCTTTGAATGGCTCACGGAAGTCCACCTCTTTCGTCTCTTTCAGACCCAAAGGGATCATTGGCATCAGGCATTCTTTGCTGAAAAAAAAAGTTCTGGTCACTTTTCAGTTCTGTAACCTCTGGTCTTTATAACTTCAAATTATACTCTGTAGTTTTATTAATTGTTGACATTTATTGTAATTTGAACCGTATTTCAAAGTATTATGGTTCAAAATCTATGTAAGATAAGATATGACAAAAAAGCTCTCTGACTACCGGATACATTATTATGAAGGTACGATGTAGGGTTTAATTTAAAAGCGGAAGGCGTTTTATTTATACCTTAAAAAAGTAGGAATACCATAAAGATTTATAAAAATTGCGCATTTTCTATTAATTTGTTTAATTCGTTCAATTTTTCATTTGTTTCTACTACAGCTTACTCGTAAGCGCGGCGTATACGCGATATCCACGGGTAAGTGCCGTTTGTATTATATTATATTGTTATTTATTGTTATAAAAGAACGATGTTACTTCTTACTAATGTTATAAATATGAATGTTTAGATGGACAGACGTTTGTAAGAAGGTATCTGCAGAACGGCTGAACGGATCTCGATAAAATTTGGCATAGATGTATAACATCGTCTGGAAGAACACATAGGCTACTAATTAAGTTTTTTTTTAATTCCTCGTGGATGCAGTTGTGAGACAGTTTGTAGATTGTAAATTGTACAAGTTTCAGCATTGTTAACTAATAATTATAGATTTTTTCTAAATAATATAAAATCGCTACAGCTTATGACATAATCCACAGCCTTATTGAATCGCTCTCCACACGTCGGCGTATATCAATCAATCAACTAGCGGTATGTAATTCATTATAACAAAAAATACGCTCCTTATACGACAACCATTTCACTTTGTATCCGTACGTTTTATTGGGACGCAAGCCATGTTAATAAATCTTTGATTAAAAACAAAAATGTACTATTCTTTATTGCATTAACTGAACTCAGAGACGTACTTAAATGCGCTTAGCGCTGATTTTTTAATTCATAATCTTTGAGTGGCTGTAAGACTCGATTTCTTACTTACTTAAAATTAAAAAAAAAACTGACATCAGAAGTTGGCGCGCAAAATTAAGCGGCCATTTTTTCCGTCGATTAGAAAGCGTCGATGTGGCAACACTTTCTTTGTGAATCCGACAAGGGTATGGTTTAATTTTGAATTAATTTCTTGCTTTATAATTTTCTTTATCGTAATTTCTACTCAGTACAGTTTTCGTAGTAAACAATTTTTGACTTTTGACATTTAATAAAAAAAAACAACAAATATTTCTTAAATTTAACGTCATAGATTATACACATCCAGAATGATTTAATTATTCCGGTTTGACATTTTCTTTTTAAACTTGTCTATTAAAACTGGACAAGTTAATTTGACAAAAAAGCCACGTATCCCCATATACAGAGACATAATAAATTCATATAAAAACTAACATCTCGCGTATAATTATACAGGAATGGACGATGTTTACTTAGACTTAATGTTTTAAAAGAAGTTGTAATAAGTTTGTAGAAGAGGTTTAAAAAAGTAGCAAGTAAATAATTTATATAGTGTTTGCTTTATAAGGAACTCTTGGAATCTTTGAACTTTTTTATAGTGGAAAAATTAATTTAACTGAGGTGAATTATTTTTAATTCGAATAGAAAGCAAACAGTAAAAGTATCATTAAAAAAAAAACATTCCAAAGACTATAAATCAAAACACATTCGTTATTAATAAATACATAATCTATGACATTCGTTACGTAACGTCAAAATAATTCGCGGCAAAACTTTTGGCGCAATAAAAATGTCTCAAAGGATTTTTATAATGTTCATATTGATGGAATTTATATTTTAACATTCAATACAATGTTGCGAGAAAGTTTGAGTTAACTATTAGTTATTTCGTAACATTTTGTTATACAACACTTCTAGTCATGGAAGAATCGCGTATATATTTTTCTTTTATGTCATAAGGTGGCAAACGAGCGAGCGGCCACCTGAAATCGCTGAAATAGCGAAGTGACTGCCCATAGACATACGCAATTGCATATGCATTGCCTACCTTAAATCGACGAAGGAGTGCATCCTGCACAGAAAGAAAATATCTTCCCTTTCCCTTTCCATGCATCCTCTCATCCGGAAAGTCCACTTCCACTTCCCATCCTTTCCTTATAAGAAAAAGGGTGGGAAGAGAAAGAGGACTAAATAAGGCCTCCGGGACGCACAATCATCAGACGAAACGCGGAATTGCTTCCACTTCACGCCTGTCTTCTGTGTGTGTTTTAGTAGCAAATCACATACTTCAGCAGTTCCATAGACCAGATGTCATACTAGCTGTCACCCGAGACTCCGTCCGTGCGAAATAAAAAAAAAAAGTAATGTGTTCTTCAAGACTATGTCCTACATACATGCCAAATATCATCGAGTTTTGCCGTTCTGTTGGTCTCTAACAAACATCTATCCATCCATTTATCTAAACTTACGCATTTATATTAGTAAGAAGTACGATTATTTCTAAGTGAGGACCTTAGCGGCAATGAAACTCTAATTGCGGCAGTAAATGATATGTCTTTTGTATAAAAATATAGATTAAAAATAGTTTTTCTTATGAATTTGCACGTAATTTATTAATTACAAACAGTTGACGACCTAGCGGAATAAAAAAAATCTAATAATAAATAAAGCCTATGTCATGTTGGAGCGTCGGTGGCTCAGCGGTCAAGCACTTGACTTGCAATCTGCAGGTCCTGGGTTCGAATCCCGCCATGTACCAATGTGTTTTTCGATTTCCGATTTATATATGTACATTTATCCGACGTTCTTACGGTGAAGGAAAACATCGTGATGCAACCTGCACATATCTGAGAAGTAATTCAAAGATATGTGTGAAGTCAACCAACCCGCACTTGGCCAGCGTGGTTGACTATGGCCTAATCACCCCTAACTTCGGGTAGGCTCCGAGCCCCTCGTTGGGGACGTATAGTGAGCTGATGATGATGTCATGTTGGGATAGTATAGCTTCTCAACAGTAAAAGATTTTTTTCAAATTCGTTTCGGAGCCTATTCAATGCAAACTAAGAATCAAATCTTTCCTCTTTATTAGAAAAGTGTATCGAATAAGCGCCCTCTTTAGGAATAATTTCGCAATTTTTCATCGTCGGTGATTCGAAACGCTTTCTGCCGTGTGCCGCCATATTGACATTATAATGAAAATATTAGTTACAAAATTATACTTAGATGAATTCATTTATCACTACGAAATTCCCGGGATTAGATTTTTATATAACCAACACTTATAGGTCATCCTTAGTAACTAATAGTCGCCCGCAACTACATTCGCGTTAAAAAAAAATCTTAATTAGTAGCCTATGTGTTCTTTTACATTTTGTTCTACATCTATGCCAAATTTCATCGCTATCCGTTAAGTCGTTCTGGAGATATCTCCTCTATATACTTGAAACTTGAACACCACCGACACTTTGGAATCAACGTCGTCAAGACGCGCCCTAAGAGCGCAGGCGCGCAGTGAGCGACGGGCCGCGTCCGTGAAATAATACCAGTACCACTCATCCTGATGAAGGGTACCCGATGGGCTCGGAACTAGTCGGTGCCGCCACCGGACGAATATACGTGATTGTTTAGCCGTTTTATATATCAGTTTAAACATTGATCCATCTAAACATTCGCATTTATAATATTAGTAAGATTTCAAGAAAGAAGAGAAATTTCTTACTTTGGAGAATATTCATGACATTTTTGTTACTATTTAGTGAATTTTGTTTAAGATTTTGTTATTATTTATATTGCATTTTTTGTGTTATAATTTACTATGATTATTTTGCTTTAACCTCGATTTATCTTAGTAAATCTCGTGAGAGTTAACTCTAACTAGATAGTTTTATAAAATGTTACATCTCCACTTTGGATGTCCGTTGAAAGTTGTATGATTACTCTCAAACCAAACAGGGAATCTTGGGCTATAAGATTTTCTAAAGTGCGTGAGTTTCACTAGTTTTCTTAGTCAACCTTGTATACTTTTCAAATATTTTAAAGGCCTAACATAAGCGCGATGCGTATTACCCTCACCCCGCATACTGCATACCGTTGTGCACTGACTCGCGCGATCTTAAGAGCCGGCAAGATATTTTAATAAACTTATATCTGAATTATGGAAATGCCATCGTTAATTAGTACGATTTTTTTTTTATTTTGATAATGTTATTAATATTATAAATACGAATATACTCTGTATAAAACATATCGTCATCCTATAAATTTATGACAATATTTTAAACGAGGATTTAGGGCTCAGAACCCCACGATTAGATCGATTTTTAAGTGTTCACAATCTGACTCTGTTTTTGTTACATAGTAAAAGATGTATAATGTTTGTGATGACATTGATTACAATTAAATTATATATTAATATCAGTGATCGTAAGTAAATGACTCTGAGTACTAAGTTAACATGAGATAATGATGTGAAAATTTTGATTGCGTGTTTTAATCTTACTAATATTATAAATGCGAATGTTTAGATGGATGAATGTTTGAAAGTATTTCCGGAACGCTTAACTAATCTCGATGATATTTGACATACATATAGAACATAGTCTGGAAGAATACATAGGCTATTTATTAAGTTTTTTTTAAATTCTGCGACACCAAGTATATAATATTTACATCAATGTAGATAGAATTATACATAAATCAGTTTTTAATAGTTTAAAAATAACTATCCCTTTCAAATACAGTTTCGTATTACTATACATTTTACTAATATTGTAAATGCGAAAGTTTAGATGGATGGATGTTTGTTAGAAGGTATCGGAAGGTATATACAACATAGGCTACTTTTAAGCTCCTTTTTTAATACAGCGCGTAGGGAGTCGCAGGAAAAAGCTAGATTTATTAAAAATTGTTAGAAAAGGAAATGAAATCGAATAGTTATATTCCATACAAAATAGCTTCTAACCTGTCGTTCTGGTATAGTTCCACTGAGGAGTTGAGCTCTGCTAACTGCTCTTTCAGCAGTTGCAGATTGGAGTTGACGAAGCTCAGCTCCAGCGCCACTGTCTCTCGTAGTTTACGGTTCGTCGTCGCCTGGAAAATAAATACATTTGTTTGTAGATGTAGTCCTCTTCACCTTCTTGCCATCTTCTGGAAACAGGAAATGGATTTACAGAGGACGGGATTTGGGGGGGGGGGATATCTGTCCATTACAAATTCAATATGTAAGCTTTTAACTTCGGTTAGAGATATCAGGCTGTTTGTTCATTGACACCCTTTATCAAAAAACAATTGTGTGAATTACTCATTTTTCTTTTGTTTTAGTGAAAAAAACATATTAAGATTATTCTTAAAATGTTGGCAACACCTGCTTATTGTGTTTAACAAATTAGATACACGCAAAAACCTGTTAAGTTCACTTACAATTTCCGGTCAAAACAAAGACTTCCGAGCGATGACTTCACACAATGCTAACAAAACAGCAAACAGAAGAAATGCAACGAACCGTAACACCCCTGAGGTTTAAGGTTTTCGAACTTTAACCTTGAATATATCTTTTATATATCTAATATAAAAAATAAAAAAAAAACTTTTTAATATGTTTATTTACGTAGGAACGATCGAGAAATTTTTAAATTTAGAACGTATGAACGAACGAGGTTCCTATACCACATAGGTTTCAACGATTTTCGTTAGTAGGAAAGTCCTAAGTAATCCTTATTGTAGTTAAAGAATTAAATTCACTTCCCACATAAGATTGATAACAGTTAGTCACTGTAACATGTGTTCGCAAAACTTAGAAGTTTACTGTTTAATTGACTGTTATAATTTTGCCTACACATAGGGTTGCCAAATCGCCAAACCTACATTCCACCGGTCACTCGTTAGCATAATGTAAAAAGCCTAACAAAAGCCGGACAATCCGGACACCGTTTATTTTGACCGGACACGCAAACACAAAACCAACCTATGTCCGGCTTTATCCGGACGCGTAAAAACGTTACCTACACACGTACTACTTACTACCTAAATAGTCCAACTATTCAGATCAAACTGAACGTGGATAGCAGGCACTGTAATAACAAAATCAATTTACCTTAAATAGATTTTCAGCTCCTGCGCGCAATCTCAGCTCCTTGTTGATCTCCTGGTTGAGTTGGCAGCGGCGCGTCTGTAGCCGACCCCGACACGTCGCCACGCGAGGGTCAGAGCCCTGCGACAAGAAAAAAAAAACCTTAATTATATGTTCATAAAGTAGGAAATACTTTGAAGATTGTCTCCTGAACATTACGAGGTTATCTGTTGGTTTCTGAGACTGAAATCTCTGTATAAAACATATCGTCATCCCTGTCATTATCTTTGACAACGTAGAGAAAGCTTAGATATGTTTATACATTTTTGTCTGAGAAACCCACGGTAAGAGATAAGAACTATGAAACAATGTAATACGGGCCGGAGTTTGAACGCCTCTGTAAAAGTATTAATGCATAATAAGCATGACCGTGAGAATCGATCTATTAACTTCACACTTTGTATTACATTACCGCTTTTTGTTACACGTGTCGTATCAAGGAAGTCGTTAGCGCGTAATGTAACTGCAAAAAGTAACAGAGTCGACTAACACGTAACATAAGAAGGATGACGAAAGAGTTATAAAAAAAAAAATTATATCAGTTTACAATTTGCCAGAAACATGTATTATACAATTCAAATTTTATTGTAGATCGAAATTAAGTGCGAATGCATCTCTGCACATAGATTCAAGTCCCACTGCGGTTGTAAGAAATCACACCAACATTGCCTCGTTCGAATTAACCGTCCTTAAAATTGAATGACACTATACAATTTAACAATAGTATCAGGCTTTTGGTCCGAAGTTTTTATTCCTTACGCTGAATAACAGCAGTGAGGTTTGTTTGCTGTTTTTCTTTTGTTAAACACTGACAATTTTTTGGATTTACCACCTTAATGTCATCTTTCGTATGGCGGCAGTAAGATTACTTTTAAGGACTTAAGTCCCTTCACGATTGCTTTTTGACGTAACAATTATTTAGTTCGAGGTAACTGTTATGTTAAGATTTCGCGTCCCGCTCGCGTTGTGCGTCGACTTTCTCCTGTCGAATGTCGATGTTGATCAATGATCGCGTGACGTTTCACTCAAACTCTCCTCTCACATGAACACATTTGCGAATTCATCACAAATTCTTTGCCGTGAGATCCACAGCGAATAGTGAGAAAGCATATTTTATCCCTTTCATTCCCTTTTATAAAATTGAGATAGCAATAGTCAGGATTTAGGCGCTTCTTACACAAATTGTCGAAAATAATTTTGTATACTTGCGTCGTTAGTATCATTATACCAACGTTGGATCGTCGTCGTGAGTCGTCTATTCGGATAGTACAGGAATTTTGATTACACGACTAAAACGAATTTACGCAATATCAAATGCATACATCCGCCATCTTGAAAATCGCAGCTTTTCGCACAACGACCTTGACAAATAGGTAGCAAACGATTGGTTATATCCACGAACGATCGAAATATCGAAGACGCGTCCCTGTGTACAAGTCTATACGATATTATATTGCTTAAGTTACGACTTAAATCGTAGGATTTCGAAGATTTTGTACGATAGAACAGTGGCTATTTGAAAAGACGTCTGTATAGACCTACGACCTGTATACGGTCTTTAATATTAAGGACCGTATACATTCAAGCGTGATATTGCCATCTCTCTCATCAGGCTCATCAGTGTCATCAGTCTCATCATCATGCAGTGGAGCCCCTCAGTTATAGTTTTAGGGTTGCCACACACTAGAGACGTTGTTGGCCGATAGTTTGATCGTGTACTAATTAACATGAGGACATAAACGGTGTAATTGGCGCATCAAACTATCGTACGACAAAAAGTCTCTAGTGTGTAGGAGCTATTAAGCAACATTTTAATATGTCATCCATAGACTACGGGATGTCAAGATTTTCATCAACTGTTTACAATACAGAGCGCGTTCGCTCAAACATCCGTTCGAAGTTCCCACGTTTGTCGACTTTAAAATGCCTTTCTTTAACCGCTTTTAAATATATCAAAGTAATCGAGTCAGTGAAGAAAAAAAAGCGCTAATAGTCTAATGGTTAAGGGCAGGATTTTCGATCATGTGGCCGAGAAATCGAATCCCATTCGACTATTGTAAACCATTTCACAAGCCTACAGCTTACTAATTGCTAAAAAGAAGTGAGAAACGTAAGTAATTTAACTCCTATGACTGACACTGAGGAAGAATACGAATACATTGGTAATTCACTCTTTTCATCTCAATTTGGTTTGTATGGCTGTTGAAGGGAGTCTATGGTTAGATTTTTATTTAATAGCAGGAAAAGTACTCTTGATCGATAAATCGAGAGTAAAATTCATAATCTCTTACTTTTTTTTTAAATTAAAGTGTGTGTTTTATAAGAAAACTAGCGGACCCGACAGACGTTGTCTGACAATTTGACACTGCGATGGTAGCGCGTCTGTCGGATCCAATGTAAAACATTCCAAAATCGACAACTACTAATAAATTAAAAATTAATTAAAAAAACATTGTCCAGTGGACAAAATTGTGAATCTTAACCATTCCCATATCCCCTTGAATAGAAGTCGTTTGAGAGAAGTTCAGTGACATAACACTTACAGAAGAATTATATATATAAAGATTCATAAGTAGACTACGTGTTCTTCCAGACTATATTCTACACCTATGTCAAATTTGATCGTGATCCATGGAGCCGTTCTGGAGATACCTACAAACATTTGCATTTATAACATTAATAAGATTGTAGACATTTCTTTTTATATCATAAGGTGGCAAACGAGCGAGCGGCCACCTGAAAATGCTGAAATAGCGAAGTGACTGCCCATAGACATACGCGATTGCATATGCGTTGCCTACCTTTAATCGACGGAGGAGAGGATACACAGAAAGAAAATATCTTCCCTTTCCATGCATCCTCTCATCCGGAAAGTCCACTTCCACTTCCCATCCTATCCTTATAAGAAAAAAGGTGGGAAGGGAAAGAGGATTAAATTAGGTCTCCGGGACGCACACACATCTCACGAAACGCGGAATTGCTTCCACTTGACACCTGTCTTTTGTGTGGTCGTGGTATTTCACCGGGCGAGCCGGGCCAACTCGTGCGAAGATGTTAAAGCGGGCTCTACCACTGTTAAAGTGGGCTCTACCACTGTTAAAATACCGTTTAGCATACTCATTGATAACTTTCAATTTTTAAAACCTAATTCAGTTTTCAAATCACGTCTCTGTAAGTCGCGGCTTGCAGCGTATAACATTATAATTCCGGGGACGGTAACAAAGTGTGAGTAATTGTTTAAAATGCATAACTTACTTTGAACTTATACGACCTTTATGGTTTAACGGTATTATGACTATCGAACAGAGAATTGTTTAAATAAATTGAAACTTACCATCTTGACGATAATAAATATCTTATATATAAAATTCTCGTGTCACAATTTTCGTTCCCATACTCCTCCGGAACGGCTTGACCGATTCTCATGAAATTTTGTGAGCATATTGAGTAGGTCTGAGAATTGGCCAACATCTATTTTTAATACCGCGCGGATGAAGTCGCGGGCGACAGTTAGTATATATATATATATATTTTCATAAACAACAAAAGCTTTTTTTTTAATTAGCAGTGTATTATTGTTGTTATAATAAAGTATAGTTTTTTAATAACTTAAAATGTTTTTTTTAAGAAAGAGAGAGCTATATTTATTTACATTTATCTCTTTCTAACATTTTTAGATCGTCTTACTAATATCATAAATGCGAAAGTTTATATAGATGGATGTTTGTTTCAAGGTATCTACAGATCGGCTGCATCTCACTGAAATATGTCATAGATGTAGAACGTAGTCTGGAAGAGCAAATTGACTAATAAGTTTTTTTTTAATTCCACGCACACGCTAAGGCCGACAGCTACTAAAAATAAAGATGTTCGATGAAATAAAGTATCCCAAAGATCAATCAAATATATTTTATATTTGGTCACAAAAATCGATTACAATTCGTTATTCGCTTTAACATTGGAGCGCATTATGCATAATGCTTGCACGACAATAATCAATCATGCAACATTACATATTCGTTTTGCAAAAAAAACCCGTCACGCTCCAATATTATTATTGCAAATGTTTCCAAATGTATTGAAATATAACAATCTAACTGTAAAATTCCACTGACTTGACACTTATATTGACATACAGCTATCTCTGTTCTTTTCAATGAGTATGAAAGGGATGGCAATATGTAGTAAATGCCATTGTAGTCGCAACCCATAGTAACTGTTACTGTATATATACAACTTCGTTATCAGCTCACTATATGTCCCAACTGAGGGACTCGGACCATTAGTTTGGGGTGACTAGGCCATAGTCAATGCTGGCTCAGTACGGGTTGACTTTACACATATATTTGAATTTTATCTCAGATATGTGCAGCATCACGATGTTTTCCTTCACCGTAAGAACGTTGGATAAATGTACATATGTACATCGAAAACGAATTGGTACATGGCGGGATTCGAACCCAAGACCTATCAGATTACAACTCAAGTGCTGATCCCCTTGTTCTACATCTTTAACCGAGTATATTTTTTTTTTACGAAAACAAACGGTCATCAAAATTCGCTAAAGTGAATTGATCGCTGCGCATAGATATTAAAATAAGTCAAAAGGTACATACAGAAAGAAAATATCGCCTTTATCAAAAATCTAAGGAAAAGGACTTGAATTTGCTGTCCAGCAAACACACTAATCAGACAACGCGGAGCTAACCATTGGAGCAGCAGTGTACTGTAAACTACCATTATTACCTGGTTTTACTTCGCTATGCATAAAAATATGTCTATTTAATGAGGCATGGTTGCATAATATCGACCTCGATAAAGTTCCGCTGACAACCGGCCATCTTTGATTTGCATTAATGGCCGGCATTTATTACTTTTTATAGGTTAATATGTACCTGGTTTTAAACTAACGAGATATAATTTGTAATTTACTATTGCATAATGTAATTAATAGTATCTATATAAGATATTTGTTGGTGAGATAAATAAGGTTTGATTACTGTTTGTTTCAATTTTAACGTATTTATTTACCAGAATAAGAATTATTAGTTTTAGTAATTGTTAGTTGGAACCCTTTGACG